AATAACGCTTGTGAATTATGGTCGAGCTGGGTCGGAGCACTTTGAGAGCAGTCATAGTCAAGGCGTTCTAATCACATTAGGATTGGTCTTTGATTCAGCTTCAAATGAAGTAACGGGAGCATGAAGCGCCCGTGACCGTCATTCGCAGGTTTTGGGGCTGAGAATCATTAAACCATGAGATAATTAGGATGAGAGAAAGAATAGGCAATTTGAAATTATCTTCAACTAAACACTCGAAAAATTTTCGAATAGAAATCCCTTTAGGTTTGGTGATCGTATACGCACAGAATTAAATTAAAAAAGATAAGCAAAGCAATGGTGTTGCGAAAAAATGCTGGAGAATGAAGTGAATTTTTTTGGATAATTGACAGTGTACTTTGCTGGTTTCGAAAACATGTCTACCAAAGGAAGAAAGAGAATGAGAAGCTGTGGCGGAGTGGGGGGGGTATGAGAAAATTTGTTTCCTACCGCGTTTCTGCTATGCATAGCGATCAGAGAAACGCCCAAAAAAATGAAGTGATATTCTGAAAGATTTTTCTCCTTAGAAAATCAAAAGGACTTGATCATAGAAAAACCCGATTTTTCGAAGATCTGAAAAAAAGAGATTAGTAGGCTTCGTTCAAGGTTCAGATTAGCAACCGCTTCAGTTGAAGCTTGATAATGACCGTCATAGACAGTTATTTCTACTTCTGTCGAAAATATGAATGAAAAAAATATTATGAAAATATTCTCTAATTCTTCACTTTTCTACTCTAAGAGTTAATAGGAATGTTTCTTGTGCTAGCTTGCATGAGCTCCACCCAACCTCATTAAAGTATGATTTTTTTTCATAGGAATCTTATTAATGGTCATTGGATGATGGGACTGAAATTGCTTTCTTTAAGCAGCTCGAACTCCATAAACAAGCACGTTAGGCGCTGTAACCGAGGTTCAAGGAGACATTTCGCATGTACACTACGTTAGCCAGTGCATGTCAAGTAACAAAGTCACTTAGTCGCAGTTCTTCTAAACCTAGGTGGTAGGCTGCTGAAATGATTGGGTGAGCCCCTTTGGTCAAAGAATCAGGTCCCAGAAATGGCCTGTACCGAGCTTAGCTAATACAGCCTACTAAGCGAATTGTGCTATATAAGATGGATAATCAAGCAAATGCATGATTTAATAGTTAACAAAGAAAAATTCAATTAAATTGGGCGGGTACGTTAAAGAAAACTTCAAAAAAGGTAGAAAAATCTTCAATTGATTTCTCAGAACGATGACCCAGTCTAGCGCGAACGGCGAGGTGAGCAAGCGGAATAACAGGCGCCGATGATGACGGAAGAGATGGAATAATTGGCATGTGATATTGAGGGCCGAACAGGATGGACGATGACGGACAGGACGATGAGCGATAAAATATCTTCTGAGGCGGTCGCACGCATAAATATAGTGACGACGATTAGCGATCAGTGTGCATTTCGGCGGTACTGTTTGTCGGGACAACGAAGCTCGTCTTAATTCACGTTGACAAGGGTTACTGCTGCCAAGGGAACTCACATACGTTGGGGTCCCAGCTGGTGGCCAAATTCTGGTCTGATTAATCGGCAAGTTCGTATTTGCCTTAGAAATGTTTTCGGTGTTGACTTGCCTAGATTTTTCCTGTTTCAACGGCGCTTTATATTCCCCTTACCAACTCGATGGTGATCGCCTGTAAACATGCACGATTCTGGGTTGGGCACGTCGTACGTTGGGGATCTCAGTGGGGTCCTTTTCGGTCGCTGTAGGGAGGGGTCGTACTTGGTCTGATAAAAAAATTTCGTTTGATATTTTACTTTTCCTGTTTCATGGGCGCTATTTTGATCGTTGAAAGGATTCTAAGGTGTGCGAAGGGGGTCGCATTCGCTCGTTGTTGGGAGAGGGGGCTGTATTCGCCATTCAGATATGTTTGCCGCTTCTTCCGGTTTTTGGGTGGTCGCGGGTTGTTCTTTCCGTCCCAAGGGCGAATACACCCCTCTCCCAACGAGCAAATGCGCCCCCTCCCAACCGTAGGTGCCACATCCCCCCCCCTCCCACTTCACGGCAAAATTCCTGGAGAAAAAACCGGAGGTTTTAGGGGAATTTGGGTAAAAGTGGTAGAAAGCTTGGAAAAGTTGCACAACAGAGGCAAGACAGTAGGAAGCATGGGGAAAGGGGGGGGGTCATAGCAGAAGATGAAACTTAGGGAGGGGTCATATTTTCCGAAAATGTTCCAGGATGTGCCCTGACTCTGAGAAAAAATAAAACATAGGAAGATGGTGCACGGTATGGGAAATAGGACTTGGGGGGGGGGGTCGTACCAGAGAAGGGAATTTGAAGAGGGTGAAAATTTTGTAAAAATTTTCCACTTTGACAAAACGTGCCCTGACTGCTGCTATGTGAGCGCGAGAACATGGATTTTGATTTAAATACATCGGGATGCGTGAAATGGCGGGGCGATACGACCCTCACCCATCGGCCGAATACGACCCGCCCAGATGGAATCTGGACAACGGCGATGCTACACTGGTGTGGGTGTTGTCTGTTGAACCAAAAAAGAAGAGTAATAACATAATTATAGCAAAATATGCGAAAAAAAGTACGCAAAAATCACAGACAGGAAAACCCCTTGCCCCTCACTGACAAAGGCACAATTGACAGTATGAGTACACCAATGATGCGATCACTGTATCAATTGACAATAACTTGGTGGGAAGGGGGGGGGGAGAGTTAGAAGGGACAAGCTCCGCCTACGGCAGCCTTTGTTCAACTAATATGATCAGCCAGTGATCGATTTATGAAAAAAACAACATCAAGCCAGTGATCCGATTTATGAAAAACAACAACCAGTCGTGGAAATCCTGCGGGTGGACTGATTCCACTCCTCTTGAAACCACATAATACATAGTTAGAGGGAAGTAATGATTACATTTTATAGAATGTTTGAAGCGCTCATTTCATTCCCCTCAGCATTCTTGTTCAGCGAATGAAAGAACGGAGTTTGTGGAAGCGCCCGCCGCAAAAACATAACGATTTCTGCAAAGACGATTCGATCAGGAAAAAATCCCTCAATCCTCTAGGTAAACCCGAAAATGTTACTCAAGATCCATACGTTTTAAGAAAGAAACGGTCGCAACCGACGATGGAGGGGGGGCAATTTCGCGATACTTCCAGTTTACAAGTCTCATTCTGGTGAAACTTGTGAACTCTTGTGAAGCTAGAGATAGCTCGTCTAGCCATGGTAAAACGTGTCAACTCAACAAAAGGCTATCCAGATGGGTCGGCACATGGCTGGTAAGCAAAATGCTCCCCCCCCCCCTCCGTTCGCCGAGCTATGGCAAACATCGCAATACGCATGATCGTTGATCGTTAAGATCCCACTCTGCAAGGAGTCTGAGCGTGTATGGACTCAAACCCCTCACAGACCCCGCAGCCAATTATTACAATAAAGGAGCTAGAGGGCAAAGGAGAGGCTCTCCATAAAGCTGGTGAATCAGGCAATGTCGGGATTTCGACTCGACTTTAAAACCAATTCGAATGTACAGCGGCAATGTCAATGACGAGTTGATGAACAGCGTGGTCGTAATAATCGTGCTCGGTGTAAGAAGCACCTAAGTAGAGCCAGATGCACTCTTGGCCCGCCTTCTCAGTGCCAAGCGTATTACAGCGTGTTGAGAATGCAACATTAGGTTGATGTTGACCTATGTACACTTCCAGCTGGATGCTTTCCTTTGCTTCGCTTGTTTCACTGGAAAAGTAAATGGCCAGTCGTGCAGTTATTCTTCACCAGTCACTTTTTCGCGAACGCCGTGGCATGTTACTCGTCAACTTTTACACAGCTTTGAAGCTTCCGGACAAGATGTCCTTCTTGAACGTGCGAAACAGTGCAGACGACCACAAGGAAGACTCAAAAGTACGGTATATCTGAGCAAATGTTCTGGACCTGTGGCAAACATTCAGCACTAATTTGGCACAGAAGATATTTCTAGATGGGTAAAAATCCCGAGGGTTTCTAAGAGAGTGATCGTTGAACGGGAACTCTGACGCCAAATAAGACGAGTAAAAGGACATTACCATCGAAAAACCTTTCCAGCTGGTAATGTCCTCTTACTCGTCGACACCGATTATAACGATTATTTCCCTATTTGGAATGGCCCAGAAAAGAAATACTAGGGAGAGAGCACACTGGGAGAAACGTCGCTTCTGCAGATGACCCCGCCCATAAAATTAGCGCGGAATGTGGCTTTGAGAAGTTCAAAGTAATCAAAGCTTTTGGGATTATCAAAGAGTGAGGTAGGACTTGTAGTCGCGGGTGAAGGAAAGCCTTTGCCGCTCAGTAGCAGAAACTTCGCTGGCGGAACACCCACAGAGCCATAAAAGCCAAGCGAAGGCAGAAGCTGTTCTGATCCCCGTCCTTCAGAAAGGCGCCCCACCTACAAGGTGAGAGAGTCAAAATGATAGGATAAGAAGCGGCCTCGGTGAACTAATGATAGCGCACTCGCTCGGAAAGCGTGAGGTGTGGGTTCAGTGCCCGCCGACTGTTTACGCCATAACTCAAAACTTTTGTGGTAACTGTCGGAGCACGAACTGCGATGTTAAATATCAGTTATCATAATAAAACACTTCAAAAACACGCCCTTTTGGCCCGAACATGGTCTTTTAGGCGCTGTTTGGCCTAGGGAGAGATAGAGAGGGAGCATTCCATTGATTCGCTAATTCCTTATTGCTGAGTTCCTAGTCTCAAATACTAATAGGTTATCACCAAGGTTTCACCTTCTAGTGCCCCTGTAAAGTCCTGCGTAGCCGCGAAATGGAATGAGTGGATCATTTTAGTCACTAGAATTCAGTGAGGTAGAAGTGACGTAGCCTGTACATGTTTTGCTGAGTACCATTTGTTGCCCCCATCGAGCCTATCTACGCCCTTAATTAAACTAAATGGCAGAAGAGCGACACAAAAGGATGAGAACAAGGTCACGGACATCGGCTGGCCCAAAAACTCATCTCATGGTCTAGTAACCTCGGTAAGCATCTCTATGACTATATGGATTAAACATACTCTCTGAGAAAGCTGTAAATTCCTTTACTTGGAGGGAGGGGGGTGGAGAGCAAGGTAACCCCCACGGTTGGTCGATTATTCCTGATAAGCCATTTATTTCCCAAAAGGATTGGAGGAAAAGTGAATTAGAAATAGTGCAGAGGTTGTAGGTGGCTTGGGATCCCAGGCTGTGGGCGGCCGGGAACCCACAAACAGAAGCTATTGAACAAAACCTTACCGAATTCCGGCTGAGCTCTTCGATTCCACGTTTAGCCGAAGCGATTTCGCTATTTTTAGCAGAAAGTTCAACTTGGAGTTCTCGAACCTTCTCCTGCGCGAGGAACACCTGAAAGCAGAGATTTCTCTTGACAGAGAGCCTGAAACCCTCAAGACACATTGGTATCAAAAATAGTAAAGCAATTTGAACAAAAGACGGTGAGCTGACGAGAGCGCTCGGGTGGAAGTGGCCAACGGACGCACTCGGCCAGCAGAAGTAAGGCCATAAAATGAGAACTACCACATGCCGACTTTGCCCCAAGCAAAACGCCCTTGGGAAAATGGGACAAGAAAAATGTCTGCAGTTGTTGAAGGAATTTACTCAAATACTGCTGTACCTGTTCTTTGAGAGTGACGTTTTCCTTTGACAGCTCACGGACACGATCGTCGCTTTCGTTCAGCGAAACGCTCTCACTTCTCCTTAAACAGTAAAAGTAAGACGTGAAATCAAACAGCAGGGGGACATGCACATCTGATGAGCGACATCTGGATCTGCCTACGTATGCGTGTTGATTTAGCATGCAAATGGGTCAGAAATAGGCGTAGGTCGTTGAATGATAGCCAGCTGGACGGCTGCTGTCTACAGTACGTCCGGGTGACGGCTAGGTGTCAGTTGAATGCTTGAAAATTCATGGTCGAGAAAATGTGGGCTTGGATTTTTCAGGGCCCTTCAAAACAGCCTCAGATTAGAAAAGAGAGAAGATAGAAGAGATAAGAAGATACAGGCATAACATTTAAATAATCAAACAATTGGCTAGTTGTAGAGGGAGAGGCTATTATCATTACTATTGTTACCGAACTTTTGTAAACACTTCTCTCATAACATCTCAGGAAAACGATAGCTTCTGAGATTGATGAATGATCACATTTGGAGACCGTAGAGTGGCTGTAAGGCTAGGTAGGCGCGGGTTTTCTTGTCCTGACGAGCGATTTCACCATTCATTCGAGAACACCAGGACGTTCTTAAGAACCATGAAGATCATTAAAGGCAGTGAGCAGGATGAGGTTTGGGGAGGGGGGTATCAGACCGATAGATGGTGGAAGGGCTGGGCGGCATGTGTGTGGCCAAGCGCCCTTCGCCAGCCTTTCAACTTGAATGACTTCGGCAGTAACCGCCCCGCCCCAGCCAAGCATTATGGAATAGCGGATAGGCTGGGGCGGGCAGTTACTGACTTCTTAGCTCCGGACTTGATCACTTTTGCGCCTCAAAAGTTACACAATAACCCGGCCGGAGGGTTGGTAGAAACCCGTGCTATTTCCCGACTCTGCCTGAAATATCCACTATGTGCAGCACATGCGTCGACACCAAAATCCTGCAACGAATAGCCAGGCAGAGGCAGAAAACAACCAGAAGTGATAGAACATACAGAAGTAGCGCATTGGACGGTTAGGTGTTAGGCTGGTCGTGTCTTAGGGCAGGCGGAGTCCGAAAACGGCACCCGTATACCATCAACCTCTACCCTTGTTCCAGTGCACTTTGAGCAGTGAAAGTGACACGGGGACCCAGTCACTTCGTACCTGGCAAGGATTAGGATCCACAGAACAGTGTCCCAGCGGGGGGATTGTCTCTAACAAAGTTCTTGTTCAGCCATGTTGGTTCAAGATAATCTGTGCTAGTCGTCTTTTGGACATATTCCGTGCAACAAAGCGCGTTCTAATATGACTTTTTTTTATGAGAAACCAATCCTTCAAAGGGGATGAGGAAACCCATAAAGGTCGAAGGCCTTGACGTCGCTCAAGATATAGAAATTGTCCTCGCAACGATCAAGCATCTCTTAGCTATATTGGCTCCTGCAAAATATTACGGAAACAACTGCGAAACCCGAATGAAGGGAATGGACCTGGTCAGGCTGAAATCCTATCGGCAAAGCCATTCACTTGATATCTGCAAGAGCAGTGGCGACACTTCTTGCCACTATCCCGCTAGACCACCTAACTTACAAGCTCCAAATCAATTTTTAAAACATTTCTGTCTCTGATACACTGCTGTGCACGTACGAGCTATTTATGCTGTGCAACGATGCGCTGAAATATGATATGTATTCGGCTGCTGCTGCAAAAAGTGAGAGCATCCTCAAAATCTCTGAATCGTTGGTCGTAAAGAAATTGAAGCTAGTCTCGTGAGTTTGAGCTAGTCTGTGAGTTTTGTTTGGTGACATAGATTCTAGGAATCTAGACACTTTATTGTCGCTAAATTCCGTTTTTTTTTTGGTCTATTCAGGTAGGACCAAAAGTGATGATTATTGGAAACAAAACTAAAGAAAGGAGCGAAATTAAACTGAAGAAACGTTTCGAGGTACGCTTGAAACTAGATAATAAAAAAGTTTCAACAGCTACTACTGTTGAAATTAGTTAAATTAATTCGGCCTGGTCGTGGATCGAGATGTTCAGCCACAGTCCGAGATTCACTGCCAGCTCAGACTTTTTAAAGACCCAGTGAAATTCTGAAGCGCTGGTTTCCGTACCTAGACCCTCGCCTACGACGTTAAACTTTGTAGACAGCTGTATGTGCTCGGGAAAAATTGAAGGTAAGATTTTAAGCCGAGCGTGTTTGAAACTGTTTCTTATGAAGGCTCTAGAGTCGCGTAGAACGACAACTTGGTTTGGCGTGTAGGGCAACAGGTTAGTTCGTAAGAAATGACCGTCGATGGTCGCTATACTTGCTGATTTTGATAATTATATCTCACTATTCTTTTTCGCGCGTTTTGAAGTTGTGTGCCAAATGGTTGCTTAGGTGCGGGGCGACTTCATTTAAATCAATTTCGTTGACTTTTCGAGAAACTCTTCCTTTCCAACGATCTTTTTGGCACAATAACTTTGGAACTGCAAAGTTTACCGTAATACCGAGGTTTTGTGAAGGGAGAAGCTGATCACTATTCTTCATTGTCGCACCATTCAGCACCTTGAATATCACTTCAGATCGGCTGCCAGCTTGATGTTTCGATTGTCTTTACTGAGAACTGAGCTGGTGCTCAAAAAGGTGTCGATCTTTGCCTTCCAGATGGACGGGTAGACGACTTGCAGCGGCTATATGAACCGTCTTTACAACTGATATCGTAGTAATCACTCGGGTAGTAGTAACTGGCATGTATGAAGCTCATCCACGCGTTGCACAACTAGTGCTTTTCCCTTCTACATCGATCACCAGGTGAACATTAACGATAGGGAAAGGCAGCTCGAGGCAAGTTCATTCCGCGCCGCACCCGACTGATTGCGATAACTGGCACCCAACCATAGAAACCACGGTATTCATTTCACTTGACCAGTCAGCTGGAGTTTGTGAGCAAAGTGGTAACATCCGAGAGGAGCATAGTTTGCTCAAGCAAGTTAGTTTCAGGAGCAAGATGCAAACATCTTGACGATTTTGTGGGGAAGTGGCATGCGTGGCTCATCCAGATGTCCCAAAAATCGAGGCAACATGGGTTACGGAAGCGAAAAATCGAGCTACTCCTCTCATATCTCAACTCTACTTCAAACTATAGCAGAGCAAGCAACCACCTCAATTTCTCGATATCACTCTTCAGATCGTTCAGCTCAGCAATTTGGGTGTGCTGTTGCAACCTCAACGCGTCCGCTTCACGTTTTGCGGCACTCAGAGCACCCATGATGACATTATCGATTGAATCGATCAGCTATAAATAGTTAATTTTGAACAGCAATCCAATATTATATTTGTATCCATTTACCTGAAGATCATCCATTTCGACATCGATTTTGCCACCATTCAGTGCGATCGCCGCGCATACGCTTCGCAACCTGCCCACAAGCTCCGCCCCTTTGGACTTTTCCGTGACGAGATCTTCTCGAAGGCGTTGAGTTTTTTCTGTGATTCGAGCTTCCATCTGAATCCCAGAGGTTATTCAATGAACCGATGAAAATAACGAAGGAATACTAGTTGTATGGCAGAGACGCAGATAAGTTCGCGGACTCTGTCTATCTAGTGTACGATGTTGATAGCGAACCTGTTGCTGAAGTGTGCGATTTTCGGCTTCTAAATCGCCGATACGCGTTTGTTGCTCAGCCAGGCGACGTTCACCGGTAGTCAGTCGTCGAGCCGCATCTTCAGCACATCTTGACCGCTCTCTCAATTCCTCACACTCAGCTTCCAAGGCCTCTAGCCGAGCCTAAAAAGTACAGACACCATGGAAACTCGTTCACTCGACGCTAGCCCTCTAAACTCTCCCCACCTTCAACGAATTCCTTTCCGCTTCGGCGTTTCGTCGTGCTCGCTCACTGGCCGCACTTTGGGTCTCGGCATTTTCCTTTTCCTCTCGGAGCTCGTCAATGGTCACTCGAAGGGACTTTTGTTCCTCACAGACTCGCTGCAGCTGCTTTTCTGTCTGCTTTCGTTCTTCCGTTACAGCACTCACTTTTCGACGCAATTCTTGCAGTTCCGCTTCGACTTCCATTACCTGAAGATAAACAAAAACCTATAATTCGATTGTAAAGTAAAAAAAACCATAATTTGTTTGCAAAATACTGTTTGGAAGATTGAAGGCACAGTCGACAATGTTCGTGTGGACGGGGATAGTCAACTACCACAATCAGCCTCCCTCATACCGGTCCTTCACAGGGAAGGGAGACGATGGGCGCGCCAACGAATGGCGCATGAGGGGCTGAGTGGAGATAGGGAGACCTCCAGCTCGCCCAGGAGAAGGCAAGCAAAGGGATGGGGGTCGTTTTCGCCTTCGAGGAAAATGCTTCTGGGGTTTTCGACCTCGCATTTCCTGTTTCGAGTGCACTGTATACCTTGTTGCCCCTCCCTCGGCAGTTTTTGAGAAAATAAAAATAGAAAAGTTCTTGGAAAATGGAAAAAAGCTAGGAAACCTAGAGAATTCAGGAAGATGGCAGGTAAAATTGGGGACGGGACGGTGGGGAAAGGGAAATTTCAGAGTGGGTTGCAGTCGTGTTTTGCAAAATTTCCCAAAGGTAGGACGTGCCA